TGGGGTGGGGGGGCACTGGGGGTCGGGTTGTTGCTGGTGGGCAAGGCATCGGATAACTGGGGACAGAGGGGAGAGGAGGAGGGTTAGGCGGGTGATATTAATCAAGTTGAGTTCTCCAACATCCATCTTTTGTAGCCCACAGTGTGCGTTCAAGAGCAAGAGGTCCCCAGCAGCACAGGGAGGGTGTTGAGTGCCCGGGCTGAGGTTTCCAGAAAACCAGTAAATGCCAGTGTAACTGGAGCGGATTTGGGGAGTTACGCAGGTTAGCAAAGACACGTTCCCATCCCCGCCAAAGGTCCCCGCTTCAAGGCAAAGCAACAATCAGCCCCCATGGTTTTTTTTAAAGAAATCCATACTTACAGAGAAACCGCCCGACATTTTTCTAAAACAAAAAGACAAAGGATGCTTAAGTCATTTTTAACATACACCATGCAAAAAATAGAGATTTTTGAGAAGAGTTACAGTTTACTGCAGGAACAGGCTGGAAAGCGTAAGTCCCAATTTCGTCGCGTACCTGCCAGGCAGAGCCGACAGCTCCGGTACCGCAGAACAAACCCTCGTCTGATACCTGCAGGAGAAATTGAGGGTCACCCCCGTGAGCAGCCTGAATGGCTCCAGGGGTGAATCCAGCCCAAGCATCCTTCGGACGAAATCGGTCGCTGCGGGGTTGATGTTAATGCAACACCTTCGTTGACCTTACAACGCTGCTGGTGTCAAGCGAAGCGTGGACACCGGATCGTGGGGACCTGGTGCTGCTCTGCTCCGAGAGCTTTTGGCTCCCTCCAGCCTTTCGAGGGGTTTTCACCAGGCCTTTGCTTTTTGCTCGCAGGGAAGCACCGCGCAGCATCGCAAACCGTGCAAGCGCCCTCATCCTCCAAGAACCACGGGGCGATGTGGAGCTCTGCATTTGCTCTACCCCAAAAAAATGCCCGTGCCAGGGCTCCTGTGCTCAGAAGTCAGGAAGATTTATTTCAGCCTCAAAACATTTTTTATAAAGGAAAAAAAAAGAAAACAAACCAGAAGAGCAGGGCGGTGAGCTGTTCTTTTTGCCTCCAGCAAAAACCCACTCGGCGGCAGCACAAGTGGGGGGACACACAGCCACCTCCCGGCCCTGGCTGGGGGGATGCTCGCGGTCTGCGTGGGTCTCCGGGTGACACCCCCACCCGCACAGGCTCGACACAAGGGGAAGGTGCCCGGTGACAACGCTCTGTCCTTACAGAGGCACGTGAAGGAGCGGAGCTACTCAGTGGGATGAGTAACACGGCATCGGCACCCACCCGTGTCACGGGAGAAGTTTTGTCCCCTACACCGACCGCAGCCAGCATCACTCACTTCCCCATCCCCGAGCCATCATCCCGGAGAAGACTGCAATAAAAAAACCCCAAAGAAAATCCCAGTGGGGGGCCCACAGCAGCAAACATGAGCAGCGTGGGGGGCTCTAAAGCCAGCACATCGGCGG